TTATTCTCTCTCTCTCTCTCTCTCTCTCTCTCTCTCTCTCTCTCTCTCTCTCTTTCTCTCTGTTCAAAATCTGTAGTGAATTAGTTTATTGGTACACGTGTGTGTATTCGCAAAGTCCATAAATTGGAAAATTTATTATAGAAAGAAAGAAATTGAATTTTTCGTGTTTGAATAAAATAAAAAGTCTGAAGAGTTATATATATATATGTAGATATGTGCAAAAGATAATTTCTAATTGTTTTTTGGATCTTCTTTTTTTAGAGGAAATTGAAAAAAAAAAAACAAAATTCTGTTGCAAAGATAATCTATTCGTTTTAAATTTAATTTAAAAAGTGAATAGAATCTTTACTTGAACAGAATCGTGAGATAAGGAATATAAAGATGTTACACGATTATTTAATATTACTCGAAATTATATTATTAAAGGTTGAAATTCGTTTCACGGTGTGAACCCTAAGAGATTTAAGATACGTTCGATTCCATCCACGTAAAAAGTATCGTGGAAAGATAAAGTGTACGAAGTGTGTGTGTATATATATATATAAAGTGTAACTGAAATTTTCTAGAAACGAGATAGTCTCGAGGAAAATTGTAACACGAAAAGATCAAGGTGGTACGTAATGGTTCAGACAATATTTATCAACCATGATTCCCTAAGGTTGCTGTAGACATAAAAGATGCAACTTCATAGCGCTAAGAAACAGAAAAAGGATCGAGACCCGCGTTCCCGTGAACGTACAATGCATTACCACGGATTTCGAAAGATTTATAATTCTCTATTTCACAGAAGTGGAAACTGCATGCGCGCGGGATGTGGAAACTTCGATGCACGCATTGCCTTTTTGTTTCTTTAATCTTCCTTAATTGATTAAAGGAACGATTATTACATTTATGAGAATGTAATACTCTGGATAATGTTAAAAAATTAAGGAGAAATTTTGTAGAAGAAAGAAAAAGGATAGAACTTTTTTTTTTTAATATACACACGTGCCAATACTGTGATTCATAATTCGATACTAGCGCCACTACTGTCTATTAACTACTAGGATCCAATATATTCATACACATTTATTTATTTTTCTATTTAATCGTTTATAGTTTTTATGGATTTGAAGTTTCTTAATAATTGGTAAAAATCTTGGTAAACAAAGTGCAATTATGTCGAAGGGATCGTTATTGTGATCAGTGTAAATTAATAATTTCGAGGATTGTAACAACAATCAATAGTGGGGAATTTTCAAGTTTAAGCCATTGCTACTTGTCCCATTGATAATTAGATTGCTTAGAATCGTGTACCAACTGTGAATAACAATGGATGCAACAGAAACGACAGAAACTAGGAAGAAAGTTTGCTCTCGAGGAAACTCGAGAGGAGGGGACAAAGGAGATCTGGTATTAATTGCTCGAGCAAGTATCATTCAAGAGAAAAGTAATTATTGGTTCCAACTTTGTGACACCGTTTCATGATTCCTAGCTTTACCGACAGTTGGGAAAAATGTTTGCTTATCGGCGGTTACTTGGTAATCGATAAAATTGCCTTCGTTTCTTTTACGCTTTTTTTATTTCCTTCTTCGATAATAAAATGAAATTTGACTCTGAGAAATTCGAAATCTATTTCAAAAGAATACGTCGGAAGCAAGTAGAAATAAGAGGACTCGAGATATTTGAGCGTTCTGGCCAAGAAATTTGGAATTTTGGCTTAAGATTCTCTCTCTATTATTATATCTCAACATTCGTAGAAGGCTATGCTGACGTCACAAGCGATTCCTTCCTTTTACTCGAGATGTAAAATGAAGAAAAAATATTATTGCTGTTCAATAATTTAATTAATCAATAAAAATATCAATCAAAGAAATCTTCCTTGCATTTAGAAAACAACAACTCATTTAACAAAAAAAAAAACACCCAATAACGGAATAAACTTTTCATCAAACTCACTGAAATTCATAATTCCAATCTCATATTCAATTTCATGAGAAAGAAACCGATTCTGACACGTTCCCTCGAATGGATACCAATTTGATTAATAACAGAAACGTTGTATTAAACGTTCGAACAACAAAAGAACAACTCGCTGTCAAGAAAATTATATCCACGATGCTCCCTCGCGTGCTTGCATCAATCTATCCGGTTAAAATTCCAATCCCGTCAAAGTCGTAAAGTCATTATTCGAGCAAGTTTTATTTAATTCCCCATATTTCTCGGCTTACGTATTCTCACCAGAATACGAAAAAGGCCCGAAAAGACAAGTGAAAAGTTTCTCCTCGCGACCTCGATTCGGTTGGCGAGAGTTTCTTCGGCTTATGAAAATGGCTGACAGCAGCTTTCCAACGCGGGTTACTTGTCGCCCAAACTTTCACAAGCCCCCCTCTCGCAGGTTATAGACTCTTTGCTTTTTCGTTTTCACCACCCTCTTCCCCCGGTAAATTTCCAAACTTTCTTTGGCGAAAGAAATCATTTTGTGTTTCTTGAAAGAACGAGGAACTCGAGTATTGTTTGACCGAACAATGCTCGGATAAAGAAGGGAATTTCCTGTTTGCGTCACTAGGGATTTTGTATTTTTAATGGAATTGCTTCGAAGAAGAGTTATTCGTGGAATAACGTTGTATCAGTGATGAGACACTGTGAAAATTATCATTGTATCGAAATTCTGTTACACTGAAAAATATTCTTTAAATATGTAATTATGTAAATGTTGAAAAAAAGCTTTGCAATTACTATCGTGTTGTTAATCCAGAAAGATAAAGAAAAACTATTCCACTAGAATTAGAAATTCTAATTGTTCCTCATTCTAAAAAAGAATTGAGCATAATAATACATCTGGTGAATGATAATTTAAAGACAAATTTCAAGATCATAAATGCTCAATTAAAGCCTTATAATTTTTTGGAAAACTAAAATTCTAATCTGTAAATATAAACCCATGATAAATGTTAGTAATCACGATTTGAAAAAATCTTTCAATTAGACGTTAAAAATTAATTTTCAACTGATTAAAATTCGAAGCGGAGGTTCATTTTAAACGAGGTTTTGCAACGCTTAGATGTGTGCTACGATTCGTGCGTTCTTCCTATCCTGATATTCCTGTTAAATTTTTCATCCCTATTTCTTAACCCTCGGAAAGGGGTAAAGCAAAATGGAATAAAATTTGACAAGCTTCAAGTTGAATGGGTCAATAACAATGTATTATTCGAAATTGTTGAATACGTTGTTTTAAGGTAGTGGCGGGAATTTCGCACATTTGTATTTGAAGTTTATAACCTACTTACATCTTGAACTTTGTATTTGAACTTGCGAATAGAATGGAAACGGACGTTTCTGCCCTGCCGCTCTTGTGTCCAAGTTTCTAACTAAATTACAAATGTCAATTTGTTATTGACGTTGATACATATGTATCCCTGGTTACTTGTAAATGTATTGTTGTTGATTTCCCGTGTAATTGGCCTCGCCAACTCCACAGTGTTAAACGACTTTGATTGTACTACTATTCATTTTCCAAGGTGTACGGAAATGCAGATGAAAAAAAAAAATAAAAAAAAGGTAAAATGCAAAATTTGTGCAATTTCAAATTTTTCACCATTTTCTTTTTATATCTTTTCTATAAAAATAAATGTATACTCTACTCACAGAATACCACACTGCTTTCCTCGATCAAAAATTCAAGAAAATTTTCCTCTCCTACAATTCTCCAATTATAACTAATATCCAAACTTCCAAGACATAACTTGTCTCAAGAATAATTATCACTCGCATTATACAGTAAAGGGATATTTTGATTCGTTATACAAATTCTAAAAATCTACAAAACACCAGAAATCTATCTTACTTCTAATTTCACGAATTGTTTCTCCAACTGGGATGACTGGCACCCTCCATATTCATTACGTATATAAATGGATAAACTGGCCATAACTGGCGAAATTTCGTCGTCACGAGTTCCATTGCGTGGCCGTGCCGCGAGAAATGTAAAGGAGAGATCGCGTTATGCATGCGCCGTCGCAGAAAAATGAGGGGAGCGCGTCGTGGAGGGCCACGAGGTGTGCGCGCCTTGTTGCAAAACTTCTCACGACGAGTAACCCCGCTCCAGAAAACTGTCGGCCATTTTCATAAGCTTGAGAGAAACTCCGGCCAAGTGGGGCCAAAGCGAAACGAGGTCGTGTTCGAGAGAAAGGGCAGTGGATGGAAAAGGGGGTGTGATTCGTGGCGAGGAGGAAATCGGTTGATGGTTAAGATCGCTCGAACGCTTGCTCGTGCCGCCACCTGCATCAACCTGCATACTGATCAGGGGATATTACTCACCGGACTTTGGAATTAGCTTTGGAACGAATTTCCAGGCGGAGGAAAGTATAAGACACCGCGATTTCACTTGAACGCTCTTATTTATAGGAAATTTTTGTTTTACGGTAATCTTCCATTCTGGTTTCTGATTCACTTTCCTCCCGTGCACTGGATTAGAAACATTGAGTTTCTCAGGTTGAAAAAATACTATGGGAGAAAGTCGAAACACCGCGTGAAAGTAAAAGACGTGGCTAAAGTAACGCATTCGTAAAAGAATCTTCTTTGGAAGAGAGATTGTTGGAAATCGAATTAGAAAAGAAACTCGATCTCGTCTTCTTTTTTTTAAAGGATTTTCTTCCTTGAAAATGAATTATCGTCCTGGAAGGAATGGAGTTTTTTTTAAATATTCTTTATATCTCGAGAAACAACGAACGATGTAAAGGAATAAAAGGGTAGAGAATAAATCATATAAGAAGAGTGATTATTTTTTTTTTTTTTCTTGTATGCGTAGGTCTCATCGAGGCTCATCGAGAAGGCAAAATCGCAAGTCTTATAGGGGTGGAAGGTGGTCACTCCCTTGGAAATTCCTTGGGTGTTCTCAGGACATTTTACGGCCTGGGCGCGAGATACCTTACCCTGACGCATGCTTGCGACACTTCCTGGTGAGTACATTTCATACCACTTTTGAATTGTCCAGAAAAATATATATTTATACGGTTTTAAATATCGTTTAGACGAAAGTGGAGCACGATGATTTCGTTACGATTCTTTGTCATACGGGAATTTTGTTATTTTACCAAACTGATCTGTGACAGTCAACACGTATATTTGAAAAAAGGGAAATCAAAATATATCTGTGGATAGAAAATTTTATGGAATAAGAAAATGAAGTGAACAAATTTTGTGGTACGTTTTTTTTACAATTTAAATTTTCTTTCTTTTTTGGTATTTTTTCGATATTTTGTGTTCTTATGAAAGTAAGGAAAGTATTTCTTTTTTATGATTTTTCTAAATTATATTTTTAAGAAAAAGAGCGAAAAAGTAATCAACTAATACGTAAAATAAGATTTTTATCTATTCGAAAGATATCCTCATCGAGTTCGTTCTTATCATTTACAGAGCCCTTATATCCTACAATTGTAGTTTCGAATTATGACGTTTGGGTAAGCTTAATGGACAAGCTAAATTGGAATCGAAATTTATTGCAATATTCGGTGAATAGACCGGCGAAATGACTAATATGGTAGATTTTTTTTTTAATTGTTTCCTCTGTTATAATATCGGTCCATTAATTAACTATCAAAATATATTCGGAACCCGTACGACTACGATAAATTGATAATCTATTCGAGATTCCAGAATAATTTAATTAACAATTAAATTACAATACAATGCAATTTCACATCGAAATTCATATCATCGTTATGACGATCAATTTAATTTTAATCTAGCAATAGATCGGCAAAATTTCTAGAAAAAAGATAGATTCACTCCAATAGCGAAGAATATTGAACAATTTACTCATTTGCATAAATTAATTTTGTCAGAGTAAGATGAAATTGTGTGGAAATATTTCTTAAATTTATCTCGGAGTTTATTTTTTAAAATTATCATCGTTACTTTGTGGCAAAGTTTAAATATTCATTATTCAAATGATCAATTTTTTCTTTGTCAAAATCTAAAACTTCCCTTTTTGATACACGATCATTACATCACAAAAATTGAATTAATAAATACTAAAATTTTATTTATTCTCTTGCATCCTTCCCTCAAGCATCATATAAAAATACTAACAAAGGATGCACGAAAGAAAAATGGCAAATCGTTCGATCAAGCCGCGGATTGCGATAAAAACATTTGACTCGACCAAATGATCCTTTTTCCATTTCAATTAATTCGAAGGAACTCGCATCGTCTCGCAGCTTTTGCCGGCCACTTTTTACCCCTTTGTAACCGTTGAAAGAGCCCGACGCAATCCAAAACCTCGGGGAACAGAAAATTTTCCACCGCCCTGCCAAGACCCACAGCGTTACAGCGAACAAACGTAACCGGGCGAAGAACTTTTTTGTTCTTTCAAAGGAAACGAAAAGTACTCCGTTCCTTCCTCTACCCGCGTACACGGTTATATTCTCTCGATTCTCCAAAAATTTCGAACCAACAACAGTAATCGTCTTAAAGATTCCGTTTTTTCTTATCGCAAATTTTCTACGAAATCTCTTGATTAAACTTAAAATTCGAGGATGTGTAAAAATTCCAAAGTTCCAACTTTGGAATCGAAGACCGTTTCATTTGCAACGGTCACGCATAAAACTTGCATCGAGAGGTCACCGAGAAACGGGTGATTTCGAGTTTCCACGCCGAGGAGGAAATAATAAGAAACTTTGCAACCTGTAAACGCGAAGGAGGGGATCCCCCGTTGGATTTTCGTTGAAATACAACAGCGAGCGAAAAGGAAAAGCGTAGCGAAGGAAACTTTTTCTACATCAGCAATCGAGAATGAGAGAGATTCTTGGGGAGGATCAAGCCTTCTCGTAAAAAGTCGAATACGAGAAAGATCTTCGAGACAAGATCATTCGGTCCAGTTCGTTGCTTGGATTGGATCTAGGTTTCGCGTTTTCAATTTTTCGAGACGTGATGAACGTTTGACGAAACTATGTTGCTCGAATTTCTTTTTTCTTTTTTCTAAGCCTACGTTGCTTCTTTTACATTATACAACAATTCGAAGAAAATGATTTGAAAAAATGCAATAATGGTCGATTCGTGCACTGTTTTTATTCGTTACATTATTTATACAGTAATTGTATATTAATCACAAATGCATGATACTTCAGAACAATTCTTTTTGGAGCAAAGTATGAATGAACGGAAAGGGATCCAACGAGAACAATCTTAGAGTGAGATACACTTTCGCTGTATAAAAGGGAGCAAGAATATCGAAATAACAAGTTCCTTTTAGATATCCTCCCCATCAATTTCACGAAGAGGAAAAGAGGGAGGAACACTTGTGAGGAAAACAAAGAACACTCCTTGAAACATATCCACACAACGCGACCTACATACCCGCCTCCTTGCCGCCATTAAGTCGTGGAATAATTCCACGAAGCCGGGGATTTATAGCTCGAGACGGGATGACCCCTCCGATCCGCGGTGTCGCGGATGCGAATATCGTCCCACGGCTCGTAACTAACCGGTTCGAGGCGAAAGTATCGAGGGACGACGACAATGGCCTCGCTCGCGGTCTCACGACCCGATTCACATGGCCCGCCGCTTTTCAATCCTTGCCTTAGGTTTATGCGCCCCTCGACGCCCCATCGTTCCACGTAAATAAGAAACCGGAGCGAATATCTCCTCCCCCTTTCGTTCACTTTTCCTCGAAACGGATCCAGGATAAGGAACACAGGTAAAGGATGTCGTATCGTCGGGGGGGGATTCTCTATCTAATGGAATTCAGTTTCCGTGTAGAAGACGAATCGCGAGGGGGGAGGCAGGATGGCGGAGGGATTTGTCGAGGCTTACGCGGAGATAATTGGATTCTTTCTTTTTCCACGCGATCGATACGACATGTTCCGTTCGTTGATCGTTGCATGGAGAAATCGTGTAAAATGTAAGGTCAGGAAAATGGGATTCTTTTCCTTCTTACAATTGAGATCAAAAATTTCAATTCGTAAGTAAATTGATCGATAAAATTTCTGTTGTTCCGTTGTTTCGTAATTTCAATTTTTGGAATGAAAAAAAAAAGAAACGGTATTCTCGATTCTTCCGCTCGATCGAACGATATCTCCCTCGAAGGATAGAAAGAGAGAGAAAATAGGGAAGGGAAGGAGAGAAATATACCCATTTGCATCCCCTCGTGGTTATCATCAAACCACTCGTTCCATCGCGACAATGGCCGAATCGCTTTCGAGAATGTGTTCCATTGGCCTAACATCAATTCTTAGAGCCGCGTCTTCTCTCTCTCTCTCTCTCTCTCTTCTTTCTTTTGTCTTCGTCCACCGTTTCTCCCCTCCACCGAGACGATTGGATTTTCCGCGGTTCTCGATGACGAGGAGTCGTCGACATCCCCCTCCCTCCTCCTCGTTCCTTCCACAACGAAGGAGGCAAGCATCGAAGTGAGAATCGAGAGAAGAAAGATTACGCGGGTCGGATTAAATTTTCTATGGGTTCGATCTTACCTTTTATCCGTTTTACCCTCTCCGCAATACTACTATCACCCCTCCCACCAAATTGTCTCCTTCTCCGGGGATCGCTCTTTAATTGCGATGATAAATTATTTTCCTCGATTTTTAAAACGATCCTCGACATTGAATTATACACTATTTTAAATCCGTGTAATTTATTATTATCTGTACGAAATGTCGATCGGTAATTTATTTTAATTCTTAATTTCGTGAGAAGGAGGCGATTTGTGAAATATTCCAGAAAAGAAATTTGTATAGTTTTCCTTTTTTGGAATATTTTAAGTTGAGATCAGAGTGAAAAGTCAATTTAATAAATAATTTCTTTTAGAGATGTAATTATTTAATTCTTAGAATTTTTTGGATCTATTATTATTATTATTATTATTACATTGATTGATACAGAAGAAGAAATTCGTCAGAATAAGTAATATGAATGGTATTAAATTCGATTTATTAACTGTTTACTTCCCATCTAAAATTTCCTTCCCCCTGGTGTTCGATTTATCAAGGGACAGGTCGAAATTTATAGATATCTAGATCTATCATTACAAAGGAAAGAGCAGGCAGTGGGGGGAAATCGACACGTGAAAAATGTTATCGGTGTTTCACCGAGTGAAGAAAAACGAAGGCGTGTGTATTGAAAAATTATTGAATTTTCCGTCCGGTTTTTCGCGAGAGGAGAAAAGAGTTTTAACAGACATTTTCTTGGCAGGGCAGTCTGTTCAGTTGGCGAGACGAACAGTACCCAGGATACGACGCCGGGCCTCAGTGAGTTTGGAAAGGTGAGTTAACAAATACGAAATTACGAAATTAAGATAAGATTTTTCGTATTTTGCTTTAATTCAATCATTCGTTCGAAGGAATATATAACATATTTTATTCCAGAGATGGGAGAAAAAGAATTTTTTAATTATTATAATTATTATATTATTAAATAAAATAAGAATCTCTAATACAATTTCTTGGATAATAATATATATTTGTAATTGGTACTGTATTGAATTAAAAACAATATCGACAAGAATTTTCGGACGAATATTTCAGAATTTCGTATTATAAAATATCATAAAGATTAATAAGCTTCCATTCGATTTACATTCCATTTATAAAGTTTCGCTTGAATATTTTCTGCAGCTTGTTGAAAATAAGCGGGCAAGTATCGAAGAACGATCGATCGATCGATCGGTAATCGATAAACGACATATTTTTATACACGTAACGTGATAAACTCCCGATGCACGGTGATAAATAATAATCAATGAAAAGCGATCAATGACGATGCGCGCTCTATTTATGCCACGATTCTTCATTCTTCTCCCAACTTATGCGCGCGTGACCCATTTCAATGGAATCTCACCGCAAACTTTCACACCGGTAAAATGGTACCGAACAGAATTTTCCACCCGAATTTCTAGCACACGAATCCCAATATATCGGTAAAAGGGAAAGAAACCAGAAAGAGAGAGAGAGAAAGAAAAATCAGAAAAGGAACATATTAGAAAGAAATGGAAATAAATAGAATAATGGAATTTGAGAGTAAGTTATTCTTGTTTTGTTATTATTAGAGAATTCAAAAAAGTTTGCAGAATGCATACATTCGTGTTTTTACACGTATATATTTTAAACATTACAAAAAGAGAAAACGTGCATCCCTTTTATTAGATTCGTTATCGTGGAAAAATTAAAGAATGCTCGGATTTATTGATCTTAAAAATTTTTAATTTTACACTCGAGGATCTTCTATAACAAAAATTTAACATATTTTTTAATAAACGTTTCTTCGTACAAGATATAAAAAATTAATTTCACGGGCACAGGATGTGTGGAACGTTATGAAACAAAACGTGAACAAAGCGGCACGGGAAATGACAACAATCGGTCGACATTGATATCCATAAATTATACATGTATATATAAATATCGATTTAACGGAGTCGTTTTCGAGACACGGAGCGGAACGGACGCGTCGCTCTCTGCTCTCTGCGTTGCGAGAACGTTGTATCGTTTAACTTGAATTAATTAATTTTGTGCAACTATAAATTAATCGATTATCGCGATACGTGAAAGTGAAAGCACACATTGTGGAAGAAGAACGAGTGCGACGGCTACTATTATATTTCAACTTAGATCGCATCTTAAAAAAAAAAAAAAAACAAATGAAACGAATACGATATTCCATATCAGCATAACACGTATGGACATACGCGTTCTCCCTGTATTCCCATATTGCTCGCATATATTTTACATATTTCGACACACGCGGCATCCGTATGAATATCGAACGAATCTTTCACATCTCCAACACACACAGATCTGGGACTCAATTTTTTTCCATCGATCCTGCAAAAGTTCCCTCCTCTCTATCCATATGATAAAAAAAAATTAAAGAGGAAGAGAGGAAGAGAGAGAAAGAGATGAAGGAAAGAAAAAGAAAAGAGAACGCGAGGGAGAACGTAAATCAAATAAGCCATCTCTGCTATCTTCCCCCACCACCCTTTCACCTTCCACTATTTCCAACCCCTCCGCCCCTAATCTTCCCCCTTCTTCCGGACTCCACTCGTCCTTCCTCTCGTTTCTTTTTCTCCTCGCTCCCCCTCCTCCTCTCATTTACATGCACACGCACAACCAGAGCATCAACCGCCACCGTGGTCCAATCCGTGTGCGCGAACACACGAAAGCCACGTCGCCAGACACGGCTCGATTGTTGGAGCGCGCCTCCCCCTCCTCCCCGACTATATCGAAACAACGTCGGTACAAAATCGTTATTGTGCAGGCACCGCCAACCCCGCCAGACGATTTACTACAAAATTCCACTAATCTGAGGATTCCAAAGCTATTCCGTTTGTCTTGTTTCCCTTTCTCCTTTCCTCTCCGTGCACGCGAAACCTTTCACAGGGATACATTGGGGAAAATAATTTTCGTGATGTAACCGAAAGGATTTTCCCTTCTTCCTTCTTTTATCGACTCGATCGCTTTTTGTCTCTGTGATATCGAATTCGAGAGGTTTTCAATACAGTGGAGATAACGTTACATAAGTATTCGAAGGCGAGAACATCTTCGAATAAATCGTTGAGATGTCGAATAAATCTGTTATTTCGTGTCGAAGTTTGCGTTATTCGATGATGGGAATCGGATCGGGTAATTTTCGTAGCAGCGTCGTCATTAATTGTTTCAATAATTATCGAATCTTTGTGATCACGATAAATTTGAAATGGAATGTTATTTGAAAATTCTGCGTGTGAAGAAAGTTACTTATGATCAATGATAATGACGAGAGGACAAAAGTTTTTGGAAAATGTAGAATTATTTTCACATTTATACGTAAAGCATTACCGAAAGAGATTTTCTTACTTCCGTTTATTATTTTTACTTCTCGTCATCTGACTCTTACTTCTCAACTCTCTAAAAGAGAGAGACACATCGAAGGAAAAAACCTAAGTGGAGAGAGAGAAGCAAAGCCAGAACCGCGTTAAACGCGTAGTATCCGCAATTTGTCGATTCCTCGTGGTAGAAAAAGGAGGAGAGAGAAAAAGGGGGGAACGGCTGAAAACGAATAACGCTTCCACGTTCGGTTTGAAAAATGATCCGGAACCGAAAAATAAGGAAATCGACAGCTGAAAATCCTGCGACCACCTTTTTCTATCTATTTATTTGTCCCCGCGCGCCGCACAAAGTTTCGCGCCCCGATGCATTTTTCTCATTTAAATTCGAACCTATATCTCGTATACACGGTGGACCAAATATATATTTCGAGCCGAACGATTTCGAGCCCTCGATGTGTGCTTGTTGTGCACGCGATATCTACGATATTTTTCCCCCTGTTCCTTTTCTATCTCGTTCTTCGATTACCCGACGCCCGTATCCGCCTATATTCTATATTTCTCCTATGTTGCAAGCACACGTGTCTCTTTATACGTCGATGCTACGTCGAGAGGAATGCAATTTTTCGCGATAAACGCGTTGGACACGCGTTGTTATATTAATCTCTGAGAGGATTAGATGATCGTTCGCCAATTGTTCCGTATAAAAAATAACGTTTCTCTCGGAGAAATTTTTATATTTCACAAGTATAAATAAAAAAAAGAAACGGACACAAGATTCTTCTTCCACGAATTGTCAATTATTCCATTGACAAAAATCTCCGTTTATTACATTCGCCTTCGTCATCAACTCGGTTTTAAATAACATACTCGTCGCGTGTATGTGTTTGAAAAGCGGCGGTAAATCGATGGAAACACCTCTGTCCCCGTTGTCTCTGCAAAATCGCGCGTGCCGAGGAAAAACGAGCATCACTGGCTTCTTATTAAAGCAGGGGTGCTCTTACAAAAAAAAAAAAGAAGGAAAAAAAAAGAAGAAAGAGAGGGGAAAAAAAAAAAAAGAAAGGCAGCACCCATTGTGCTCCTTCCTTTCCTTTCTCCCGTATCGACGCCCTCTCCGGTCTATGCACCGCAGCCAGGCTTTTTCCTTCTATTTTCCCCGCGATAGAAGAGGGGCGGCTTGCTTACGCCATCGACAAATGTTCATCGGTCGAAATACCGACGTTTCCCTCCGCCATTTTTCACCCCTCACCCTCATCGTCCTCACCCTCCCTTCTATCGTGATTCCTCCTATACCCTTCAACCGTGATCATTCTTCCAGGCCGAGCAACACTTCGAGGCCCATCCTTCTCCCCCGTGTCAAGTCCCTCGATCATCTTCTTAATCAACGCCCTGTGGAATCGCGGCGAATTAACGGTATCTCTACCGTTGCAGCACACACACACACACACGCGCGTGCGCGCGTGTGTGTGTAAGACTTTTCACGGTGTAATTGCCTCCGAGTAATTGTGCCAGATTGATCGGTGTTATTTGTATAGTAATTCGGCACTAAGAGAAAAAAAAAATTTTTGACATGTCGAATCGAGAGTTTTTTTGTTTAATTTTATTTAACTATTTAATAAATTCGAGACCTATCATTGGATCGTAAATTGTTGAGTTATTTCAACTTCGAATTGGCGCGATTTTGAAATATTTTATATTCGATTCGAAATATAATATGAAATTTCGCCTTTATGGATCTGTTCGAATTTAAATAATTTGCAAAATCAACGTTATCTAAACCCAAACTGGGAACTGTAGCCAAATATCTCGTTAAAGAAGAACCATCCCTCTAATCCCCCCTTTCCTTCGCAAACGAATCAACCCCTAAACTAATACGTTCATTTACGTCGCAAAGTCAATTTCCATGAAACTTTCTAATCCGATTTCCATTCTAAAAATTTCCATATGGAGCCAGTTTTTAAATAATAATTAAACAATAAAAATTTCTTATTATCTTCCAAACTTTTTGAACCTCGTTTTACAATTATATTTGGAATAATTCCTTCTCACAAAAAAAAATACGGCACGAAAAATGCGCATGGTCGGCGATATTCACGTATATTTCCGTTTTCGCGAGTTGTCCACGATTCAAAGGCGGTTAAGTCTCGGTTGCGAGATAGAGAAATGTAAAGCGGGAAAAAAACGAACGAAGAAAATGGTCGAGGGAGGAGGGATGTTGGAATTAAAAAAAAAAAAAAAAAAAGGAAAAAAGAATTGGTAGCAACGCAGCAAGTTACGCTCCCAATGTTGCGCTCCGCGAGTTTCGTTCTGTTAATTAAAGAGCCGCGTGCATGCATCACGGCAGAATGCACAGGCCAATTCGTTATGTCAGTTAATTTCTATAATGCCGGTGGCCAGAGGCGAATGCAAAACAGGGACACGTGGCCGCGCAGGCTGCCGAAGCGAAATTCGAGTCGTCCCGCGTACCGAATAAAGTTGGTACCGCGGCTAAAGGTAATGCAAACTGTAAAATCACGTAATCTCTTCGCCGGCCGGACGGCCCGAAAATTTGCATTCTAACCGTGTTCGCGGAATTACGCGCGATTCGATCGAATTCGCGTATTAAAACCCCTGTCGATTCCCGAAACCCTCCCCCCTCTTAACAACGGCCTCGTTCCTTTATTTTATTTTTTTTTGTGTGTTAATAACGTGGAGAATCAGGAATAATTTATTTATTTTTTTTTAATTTAAAGGTGTTTTATTTGAGGATTACTTATTCTTTGTAATTTGAAGAGAAAGAAATCTCAAAGGTGTGGACGATAAAATCGGGGTTAATTTTTTCGGATAAGGAGAGATTAAATATTTTTACAACGTTGCAGGTTGTCGTAATCTTATTTTTCTCCTTCAAGAGGAAGGGTCGAAGTTTAAAATGGGAGGGGTGGGGGTGGAGGGAGGAAATATGCACATTATTTTTTTTTATTATTTTTCAGGCAGTTGTCAGGGAGCTAAACAGACTGGGAATGCTAGTGGATCTCTCTCATGTCTCGACAAGGACTATGAGGGCGGCCCTGCAAACGACGAGGGCGCCGGTGATTTTCTCTCACAGTGCTGCCAGGGCACTCTGCAATTCCACCAGAAACGTGCCAGACGACGTGCTTAGAAATCTGGTGAGTTTAGATGTGGGAAAGTTAAGGGTGTATGGAAATGCGATGGGGAGGCTGTATAGTGCAAGGTTAAGCCAATTTCGATACTCGATCAGAATCCAAGCCATTATTATGCGATTCCACGAATTGGACAAATGTCTTTCTCCTGCCTGCGTTCGATCCTTCTTTTTTCTCTCTCCTCCTTTTTGAGAATGGAATAAAGGTAATAACAATCTGATGGAAATTTTTCTATTACAATAATCAGAATTTTGTTCATCTGGTTTTATCTTGGAACTCCATATTTAAATTTACTTTCAATTTTTTAAACATCCTGTATGGATTCAACATTATTTTTAATTAGGGATTAAATATTTCCGAGGATAATCGTTTCTAAAAGCGAAACTTTTACATGATCCTTTCTCTGGGCACTTTAATCCCAAAAGAAAATCTATTTCCATATTGCTAGTTGATTAGTTTTTACAAAAACTTTTAGTTTTTATCCGTTTATTTATATAGATTGTGGATTTGGAACGTAAATACATGATCGAAAAAATTTGGATAACGCTGAGAGTAAGAGTCTAGTGATGGATTCGATTAAATTGAAAAGCTAAATAATTCAAAGAATTCGAAAATACCTTTAAATTTTTCTCAAATTTCTTCGCAAACGACGAATCCGGCGACTTGACAAATTCGCTTACCGCGCCCCCTAATGCTCTTACCACGGTAACATTAAACGGAAGGAGAAACACTGGTGCAATTAGCAAACGAACAAGCTCACGTAATATAAGAGAACAAAAAGGGACGTGGTCGTTGCAAAAACTTACATAATTCAGTACAGTATCCGGTTGCGGAAATGAGCGTGGATGAAACGAAAAAGAAAGAAAAGGGAAAGAAAAGGAAGAATCGTAAAACGTGTCGTAAAATCAAAGGAAGGGAATTAAGAATTAAAATGAAAGAAGAAAAATTGACTGAAAATTCATCTGAAAAAGGAAAGTGCGTCTATCAAGAGTTGATGCAACGAATGTTGCGTATAGAAAGGAAACAGAATTGATCATCTCTGCGTTTAAAGATAGAGAAAAGGATGGAAAGTTTTCTCGCTTTTTATTTTCGTATTTTTCGATATTATTAATTATAATAAATATGCAATGGCATATTAACTTTGTTTATTATATCTTATGAAGTGCATCTGTCTTTTATTCCCAAGGAAATTTATCGTGAGTGAATATCGACGAATTTCATTGTATCTAATTTGTCATGTTTTACGATTCTTTTTGTTTGTTTAGGAAAATGGTAAAAAAGGATTCAGACATTAGATTATAAATATAACAATATTTTTAATTCTTCTAAAACTTCGAGGGAAAAAATGTTGAAAATTTTAATCGATCTTTATATCAGTCAAATCATTACATTATAAGCACGTAGACTTGAAAAAAAGCACGAGAAGATTAATAATTTCTGCAAGAAATTAAAGAAATTTCTCGAAAAAAAAAAAGTGAGAAAACTTAATAATTTGCACAAGTGCTCCATATATCATTTCTGTGTGTTTTATGTGTTTGTGTACAAACACATTTCCTCTGCGCACGTTATCAACCGGATAGGATGGCAAAGAACGTAAAAGTTCTGACTTTATGGTTACGAGTTTCTCTGCATCTTGCTGAAGAAGCAAAGTAGATACTTTGCTAAAATCAATGAATTTATTCCGCACGAAATTGGATAAAATACGATCACCGATATATCTCCTGATCTCTTGATTGAAAATATCTTATACAAATCTGAAAAATTTTCTCATCCCATGGACTTGTGCATAAAAAAAAAATTTGAGATCACGATTACGATTCTATTATTTGGAATATTTCTTCGGTTTCAAAAATTTATTAAAATCACTATGAAAAAACTATTATCGAAATAAAGGAAAAGTATAATATAGTTTTTTAAAATTATCACATAATATAGCATAAAAAATATCTTCTCTTCGTTAAAGTATAAAAGCAAGCATAAATTGAAAGGAAAAATGTTTGAAATTTTGCGCAAGGTTTGACCATTTATTTTAAAAGATTAAATTTCTTTTATAATCGTAGGTATATAACTTTCAAAAATTGCGTGATATTAACGTGATCTTTTTTGAAACAGTAAACCGAGATGCCCTTAACTTTTCTCGGTCGCGTACATTTTCCAGGCTTATCATTATTAAAAATTTCGTATGCAATTTCGCCCAAAATGATAGTCTTCGCGAGCAAAAAAGAAGAAAAAAAAAAAGAAACGGGAGAAAATAATTTACTTTGAGCGTAAATACCGTAGCAGATAAAATTGTTAGTGAGCATTTATGATGTAATCCATGCTTAACCCACAACCTACCGACGTTGCTTTTTGGGTCGGTCGATAAATTTTAACGTTTTAGTTGCAGTTTTCCGACTGCTACATTCAAAGTTAGTGGGATAGCGAGTCGAGTTTAATCCCTTTTCGACAATATACCAAAAGTTCGTTTGCGTTTAATGTCGAGTAAAAATTTTGTATAAAGTGCATTCGAAACACGGACGCAGATTTAACACGATCAATGAAGTGAATTTTTTTCAATATTGCACGTACGACGCGCAGACACGAACGGTACTGGATATTACACACGTTTAAACATGGATATATAGTATAGAGTGTTCCAGAATTATAGATCGATCGATCAAGATTGATACGAGTACGATAATTTCTTAAAATATAAAAATAAAAAGTTATCTCCAACCGATTAATTTACACGTCATCAAAATTTATCTTTTGTATCTTTCAATTGTTATAAGAAATTAATTATGTTATTATAACAATGTTGTTCTTTGATGCAAAATAAGGAATCTTCCTATCCGAACGATAAACTGATTTGCCAAAATTGCTTATACACTTTTTTTAATAATTTCCAAACCATGATTCGTTCCACGTATCTTCTCAAACACGGAATCGATTCGTGCACACTTCATCTCGCTCCACAAACACGCAGCATTACCAACAGATCCTTTTCGATCGAGCTTGATCAACGTAGAAGATGATCATTTGGTCGTAGATGACGAAAAACGATCGTTTTCGAAAAGTTGAGATTCAGTGCAACTTGAAAACGCGTTACCCTTTCAAATCCTGTTTCTTGGTTAGAAAATAAAAATAAAAATTCGAAATTCATTCATTCGATACCGTCGCTCGCTACGAGGATGAAACGTGAGGAGAGAACGACGTGTTGAATTCGTGGTGGGTGGAAAAAAAAAAAAAACGAGGAAAATTCGAAACGAGTTCGAAACGACACAGGAGGATGTACGTTCGACGGAATTCGGGAGGGAAAAAGTTGCACTCGTATAAAATAATATACGAGGTGGGTCAATGAGGCCGCGAAAAAATAGTTCTAGAAATCCTATGTTGTTGGATTAAATTGTCGGATTCCAAAGAGGATATGGCCGGTTGATTTATGGGGGGAGGAGGGAGAGGGGTCGGTCAATGAGAACGTACAACCCGTGGTTAAAAACACTCGGGCGAAACAATTATTCGAATATTTACGAGCTCAACTTTTCTTCAGGTTTTTATCTAGAACGACTGTAAATCAATGGATTAGATTTTTGAAGCGTCGTTGAATTCCAGTTATTGAAACGAACAAATAAGCGAGAGGTATAACGAAAAGCAATTGTCAATCTACCTTTTTTAACGTTCGTCAATTTATCAGGAAGAGGTTGGTGACAGTTAGAAAGAAAATTTAGGAAATTAATCTGTAGGGAAAATTGGAGGGAACTTCGCTTCATCTGTTAACATCAGGTTATTATCGATTTTAAGAGAAGAAAAAAATTATCCAAGCTAGCCAAATTTCGTTCTTCTTATAAATTTATCGGAGATGGAATAACGATTTCGAAGTTGTACGAACTATTGGAGACCTACTTGCGCATTTGAGGCCATTGTTAATTACTAGCCTCGCGCGAATGGAAATTAATAATCGTTGGGGCTAAGTTCACGAACGTGTGGTTAAATGGTATTTAAGGACATTGTCTCCCCGTCTCAAATTTAATCCCGCAGATTAGAGCGGAGCATCGATGCAAGGTAATTGTCATTTCAGCGTCAGTGATTGGGAAGCGCAGGGCACGGACGGGATTAAATTTTAATCGAGCTTTGCCGGACTCGATCACTTAGTTTACCGTCAATTCGTAATCACTTATGAATCCTATAATCGTGATAGAGGCTATCCTAAGACGTGCACAACAAAGACAAAGATATATCGCAGGAAACATCTTGTTGTAAAAGTGGTCAAGTCGAGTGCCTCGAGTTTCGTTGATTTTCTTTCCAAGATCGCAAAATTATTACGATAATATAAGTATCACTTATATAGAATATATTGAAAAAAATCTTCAACAATTAACACTTTCTTTGGAACCGTGAATTTTAAGAAATCTAAAGGTTCGATATTAACTTTGCATTATAATATAAATTTCTTTATTTTCGACTTCGGTGTGGGATGTAATAATTTTTATTTCGATCAAACAAATTTATTTATTTCAAATAATATATCATCGTCAAAGAACAAAAGATTGAAAGGATAACCTCGTTCCCGATAGAAATTATTTTATTCTCGTAGAATACAAATATAAGGTAGGTACTTCGATTAACCTGATTATTGAAATCCCAATAATTATTTTTTTAACATTCAGAAACTTCAATAACTAAATATAAATATCAAGATATTTCTATCTAATCGAAAGTGAAGTAAATAACGAGAATGGTATCTCAATGGTTGGATCGATCGGCTTGATTAAAAATCCCGACGGATCGTTTCTTTATTAAATGAGATCGAATCAAGGTGTTTCTTATTTGTCTCGCAATCAATACAAGCTCGATCATGATGAAGCAACAAGGGGATGAGTTACACCAATCAGAGGGCGAACGATGGCCTGTCTGGCAACATGTTATTAGCCGTGCCACACTGCTGTCCCAATTAACGTTGGCTACCTCGTAGTTTAAGTCGGGTCAGGTATCGGCTAGAAACAGCGGGCCATTGTCTCTTCTCGATTGGCACATTCAGTAATTTTCGATGGGGGGCCAAAATAAAAAAGAAATCTGATAAAACTGGATACACCCATTGCGCCAAACGCTCCAACCATTTCTGACCGTAACTGATAAATCGATCATCCTTCCATCCCCCTGCTTTATCTTTCTTTATATTTTTAGATCGCGAATTCGATGTGCATAAAGTCTATTCACAGTGATGAATTACGATATTAAATCTAATAGAGTCTAAGCTAAATTTGATAAGCAATGGATTCGCTGACGTCTAAATTATTTTCGAAAATTTTTCATCAGTGATAAAATCACTTCGTTAATTTTTTTTAATGTTGTTCCAGGGTAAGCTAGATCGTATTTCGTAATTATAAATGGTGCGTGCGTTTCACATTTCCCCGAGATATTTGAAACAAATTTTTACCGTTTTTTATTAACATTTTAACAGTTTTATCGCAATTTCTAATTTTTCAAGATTATTGTTCATTGAAATTTTACATCGAGATAAACATCGAGCTTTTGTTAAAATTATTTATATATGTTTTGGGAATAATTTTTACGCTCTGTTTATATTATTCTTTGTATATTCTATATCATATACTTTTTTTTTTATTATATTAACTTAATAATCGTCGAACGATAAGTTGAAATAAAGTTGAAGAGGAAATATATAAAGGTCGATGTAAATAAACGGACGAAATTAGTTTTCCCTATTCCTTTCTCGACCGTCGATTCCACCATCTTGATCTTTCGTTCTAATTAGAATGCGTTGTATTGTAGAATTCTCCATTATGCAAATTAATTGGGAATTCTGCTCGATGCCTTTGTATAATTTATCGCGATAGAGACTGATCTTGATACACGCGGATAACGCAAATCTGATACGCATAAATTATTCTGATATTATTAGATTCATACAAAATATCTCTAGGAGTTTAAGTCCGATTAATTCATCGGTTAATAAAAAAGAATTATATAAATCATATTTTAATTTATATTGACGAGAGAATTTGCGTTTCCAAGAATTTTTCAATCCTGCGATTAAACCATTCTCACGAATCATCTAACAAATTGAAATTAATTCTTAAGTCTAAAAATATAAAAAAAATTATAATTCATCGTATCTAAATATCGATACTTCCATTCACTTTGAAAATTGAAGAGAGGAAGATAAATATTAAATCGATCTCGAAAAGAAACTCGAACGAACGTGGAGAAAATGTTGTTATGGAAGAAACATCGTGTCGAAAAATAAAAATTTTCCCGTCGAAAAGAAGAGGGTAGATTTTTCAAATGGTGTGGTGGACGCGTCGTGGATATTAAATGTTTCATGGGATTCCGAATCAATCGTTGAAAAATCCCGGTGAGAGGGAAATATGATTTACAGCAGTTGGCGATATTAAAATTTTAACGCGGTATATATACCGTCCCCCGTCGTGGAAACGGAATTGCATTTCTCTGGGGTAACTTTACGATTCCTTGGAATTTTATTGGCGAACATTTCAAGATCTGTCCAAGAAAGCATATTTGTAGCTCAGAGCCAGAGCCTGGGAATAAGTCTACGTCTTTTAAAAGAATGACATTTTACGTGACTTGAAAATCTGTCACTTCTTTTCACGGCAGGGAATATCGAGTGTTAGACTATTTAATTTTTCTCACAGCAGCGTGAAAATGATATTGCTTAATTGATTTGATGAAAACTTGCTTCTACAAAGTTTAGAAATCTCTAACTTATGATTCACTTACTTCAAATGTGTGTTAGATGATTAAATTATTATACGAGCGAAAAGATTGATCGTTTAACAATTTATATAAAATATATAAAATACAGAATTTTCCATTCAACAGAAAATTGAAATCAAACGGAATAACCGAACACATTTATTGAATTTTAAATATTCAATATCCCATAATCCATCATTGTATGAAATTATAATCAAAAAAGGGGTTGAGAAATTAAAAGCTACGTTGTTATATACTGGATAATAAATAAAATTTTCATAAAACAAAGGAAAAGGAGGGGAGGAACTTTGCTAACCCCGCAAAAGAGACAAATATAAAAATAAACGGAGACAGATGATCCTGATGGCAGAATCGTTTCTTGCTTGTCTTTCGAAAAAGCAACCTGGACAAAATCAATATGGAGAGCAACAAATACGCCTCAGATTTGGACAACCTCATCGAATTTCAATGTGCAATGTTTTCCGGTCGCGCATGCATTTGAGAAAGTATGCTGTCTCGAATCGTAACATTTTTAATATCGCTCGAACAATGTGGAATGGACGAATCGCGAATTAAAGAAGAGAGAAATCTGCTTTGTGCAAATGTACCATATTGAAACGACTTGTAGACAAATACACTTTTAATCAGTGTACATTTAAATATTTGAAATTTTTGGATTTGAATATTTCTCAATTGAATCGTGATGTACAATAATATTTATTTAAGAGCATTTAAGATTATAATATAAATGAAAATTGAATCAAAGAAATTTTACAAAGATTGTACTTTTTAAATTCGAGATCAGGAAAATCAAGAATATTGCAAATTTTTCGAGAAATTATCAATGGTTTTACATTATATCTAAGTTTGGAAAAATTTTCCAACATCGAAGTTACGAAAATTACAAAAATCTTCGTCATGTCTAAACTCCTTAAATCACCTGTGTGGTGGTTTCCTTCTACTTTATGATTTCGGTAAAATGTGCAGCCGTATTTCATAGAGATATCCTTTTTTTTCCGAATAGCGAAGACATTAGAATAGAAAAGATAAGTTCTTGCTGCATCATTTTGGGGACCATAATTTAACGATTAAAAAACCAGGGGTTTGTTTAAATTCACGTTCGGAAATAATTATGATGCACGATCCTGAATGTAAAAAGGGAGAATAACTTGTTTCTTAAAGCGTGTAATGTCTTCTTTTGTGGGGCATTTATTTTTTGGAACCGGTATTTGCTGTACAAATCATTCCTCGGAAACATTTTAATACGAGAGGAAAATCATAAATCATTAATTTCCAACGGAATATAAATTTCCCGCGTAAATCTGATATTCAAAGCTTATTCGAAGCTGGAGGCATTATATTCACGAACGTAATGACAATTTCTCAAAACATTATATTAAGTAAAACGAAACGTGTTAAAAATTTAAAAGGCGGTAAATAATTAGAAAAGGGGATACTCTTTTGCATTACGAATGTACGAGTAAATATTTTTAACGAGTAAAAATTGTATTTACACAAATGGTAAATGTAAAAAAATAACATTCCTCTCATTCCTCGATTTTTCTCTATTTATAGCTCGTTGATTTAAGATAAAATAGAGATTATATAATATATTAAGACGATATAAATTTATTCGTGAAAACAGAAATTTTTAAGATGGATAATTAAATAACTGATAATCAAGAAAATGGATGTGCATCGATTCATCGATGATTCCTGTAAATCAAATTATCGACACTTGAATGTATAAACGTTACTTCAAAAAAGAAGAAAGAAGAAACATAATTTCGAACAATATGATGATTCGCACAAAAACTTGTACAATTATTACTATATTCATATTACGAGAGAGAAATATTTGTTAGGAAAAGAGAAATCTTTTCATCGATTTCTTTTATTAAACTTGAGTTAGTTAATTAAATTTTTTATCTATAATTTCGAAATAGTCTATGTAATGCAGAGAAGCGAGAAGAATTTTTTGAGGGTACAATAGAACCGCAAATTCAATGCTTCTATACATTTCCTTCTATACAGGAAATGAAATACCCGCTTTATTCTACTCGACACAATTTTACAATCGCTTTTCTTCGCGCGAATAATATTCAGGGCCGGTACAATCTTGGCATGTCTGAGGTTAATGCATCTGTTCACAGGCTAAAAATGGCGGTGTGGCAATGGTTCCGTTTTATACATACTTCATAACGTGCAACAGTACAGCCACTATAAAGGACGTTATTGGTACGTAAAACATCGATATGTTATTTCTTACTAAAAAATATACGATCGTTTGTGGAAAATGCTATTTTTTCTTTTTTTTTTTTTTTCATTATTCATTTCACAAAATAGGATAAAAATCATTAAAAATATTTGTAATATTCTAATTTCCAAGTTTCTATCAATTATTGAATCGAATATTTATCAATGATAATCTATCTATCAAATTTAGCAGTATCGATATTCTGAATAAAAAGGAGGAGGAAATTAAATGAACTAAACTAGTATAATTGTATTAAAAATTACATTGAGATTTAAAATTAGAAGTAGAAAGTTGCGAAGAGTGAAAAATTTAGACGAATAAATTTAAAATTTTATTATCTAAATAAAAGAATTGACTTGGAATTCTATTGAAAAAAGAATTTCAATTTAGAATCTCATTGCACAAAACTATCGAGATAATTAAAAATTAATTAGAATTAACTTCAATTTGGAACAAAATAAAAATTCGTTCAAATAATTTCATTTTTACTCATTATTGCATACAATCAACTATCTTTGAATATATTCAAGATATACGTAATACAATGAAATTATAATGTATCTATTTATTTTAAAAGATTCATTTAATTCGTTAAAAACTATTTTTCGTGGTTAAAATTTAAAATTCTCTTTATTAAAATAATTAAAAAGAAAAAAAGAAATACGTTGTAGAAACTTACAAATATTTCATGATTTTCTAAATTTTTACTAAATTCTCGATTACATTTCAATTCTGCAAAATTTCCACTCATCCCTTCACGCAACGCGATATAAATTAACCACTTATCCACGTATACAACAATTTTAACATACCCATATTTTCCATTAAACTTGGTAATTTATATCTCTCTCCTTCCCTATATATCAAAACGCCGAATAAAATACAACATATATGTATATATCCAGCATCATATTAACTTCTGGATATATAAAAAACACGTGTTTCGCGTATTCGCGTATGATCGATTCGTTTCTTCCGATCTTGGGGCGAAAATTGATTTGAAAAATTTTATTCAGCGAATGCATTAACCCGCGTGTACAAAATAATAAAATCAACATTTTAAATTTGCCACGGCAGAGGTTAATATTAGGGCGCGTGTTATCCATGCTGTTTCAGCGCACATCAATCACATTCGAAAGGTGGCGGGGATCGATCACGTTGGGATAGGAGCTGGCTTCGACGGGATAAATTTGTAATTATCTTTTCGAGTATCGCAACGCGCTGTTCAGAGAATAATCATTATCGATGCTCGACACCTCAATGAAGCAATTACGATCTAATGGATACCGAGTTCCACGTTCACGATACACGGTGTACTTGTAGGGGAAATCGTAAAATTACTCCCAATTGATACCCGGGGACGAATCTAGTTTTATTGTCGCGTGGAAATAACTCTGCATCGCTCTGTTCTCTGAATGGCACGAGAATCGTTGGAAATTGTGCTGGAGTCACGATTATCGATGCGCGCTTTTCCAGCACTCCTACCGGGTTGGAGGACGTTTCGAGGTATCCTCAGTTGTTGGCAACACTGCTCGAGGACCCGACGTGGACCGAGGACGATATCAAGAAGTTGGCTGGCCTCAATTTGCTGAGGGTGTTCGCCAAGGTCGAGCAGGTGGGTTGGATAATTTTCTTTTTTCTTCTTCTTCTTCTTCTTTAAATTAATTAAATCGTGGTGGATGGGTTTTTGTACGTCGGTACGTGTACATTTTTAATAAGAGTTGAGGAAAATCTTTGTTACGTGTGTTTCGCAAGAAAAAAGTAGGAGGAAGAGTTTTAAGTTAAAGTGGGGATTTGAACACGATGGAGAAAAGTAGGTGCAAGTAGAATGGAGCATTGGTCAAATAGGTAGGAAACTTTATTAAGCGTTCTCTAAGTAGAAATTTTCTATTCGTTTAAAATCAATATTTTTAGGTATCTTTGAAATGTGGGTAAATCGTTAATAAATGATTACACTTATCAATATAAATCGAGTAATTTGTTGGATTTATCGCATATGAGAAACTGGATTTTTTCATTTTCTTTTTTTACTAAAATTCACAACCTTTCTTACAATAAGAAAATATTTCTTAAAAGTTTGGAATTTTAACAAACAACAATTTCGTACGAAATATATTATAGGATAAATAAAACTTTTTATCCAACATACTCGTTACCAATACTCGTATCTCAACTTGATCGATTGAAAAATATTTTCAGGTACGAGACGAGTGGCACAGAGCGGCAGTGTTGCCAGAGGAGAAGATCAGCCCGCCGGACAACTCTGCCTGCGTCTACGGGGCGTCTTGATCTTCTTCGAGGACGCTCACGTCGGGATTCCTCGATTTTGTACGATCGCCGAAGATTCGACACGTCTCGTGGAACTATAGGAGCCTGTAAACTGTGCGGGAACTGGATCAGAGATCGCCTCACCCCCTGATAACATCTTTTCGAGTTTTCCTGGGGATCTCGATCGCGCCTTATGAAGGATGAAAAATTGTGCAAGAGCGTACACGATCCATCTGTGAAAACTGATAAGATCGAGGGCATGTGCCGAATGAACGATCATCCTCGGAACAAGTTCAATTTTCTCATCGACATTCCTCTCCCATTCCGTTCATAAATTATGCGATTGCATTTTTCTCATCATTTTTCAACAGCTGTAGAACTTTGCTTGTTGCCAATTTACCTCTGTGAACGTATATAACAACAATATATAACGATTTATTTGCTGCTATTTCAATAGCTGGATATGTCCGTCCATGTTCTCACAGGATTATCAAGAATTTTTTTCATTATTAATCGCATTCGTAGAAAAATCAGCCTTATTTTCTTGTTGAAATTTCTTCTTGATCGAGTTCTGAATTTATCTGAATTATATTATACGAGAAATATTTTGCCGTTAGTTTGTGGGAACATAAGCGATGATCGAAGCAGAGATTTTATTAATTAAGCATGTATTCGTCTGTATGGAAAATGTGAACTTGTTCCGAAGAAATGCATAGAACGAATTCTACTCGTAAGAAGAAGAAGAAGAAGAAAAAAAAAAAAAGCGTTCCTGAATGAATAACTTATAATGATGCGGACAATCGAGGCGGCCAAGAATGCTTGCTGGAAAAAGCATTTATTTCGAGAATATTCGTTTAAAGGAAAAGGAAGGAATATTCTCGTGACAGAATTTCAATAAATGTTTTTCGATACTTCTACCTTGGAATAATTATATAAGATCTGAAGCGATGGATACTATATTAAGCGGTATGCATTCAAATGACGGTGGGGAAAAGATCTATCGATTGACTAATTTAACGATCAAATGATACATCGATAAATTTTACGTTATATTGTTTATCGTGTGGTGAATTTTAACTTTCTAACTTAATGAATTATTAAATTTCTTAATGAGAGGAATAATTAAAATATATCGAAAAATTGTTTCTTTCAATAACTCGAATTTAAAAATTTGTATCACAGTTCGTCTTGTAGAAGAAAATTTTAAGATTAATGAAATTAGCGAAGAGACAATTATATCTATAGAATACGATCTTACAAGAATATAAACGATCATTTGAATGCTTGCTTCTAAAATAATATCAATTTAACAAGTGCGCTTAAGACCAAGGAATTAATAAACGGATGGAAAATAAGAAGAAGAAAAAAAAAAGGGAGATGCGAAGAAATAGAAAAAAAAAATCGACGAGATGATGAAACTTTTGTAATATTTAACTAGAAATTTTTCGAACCAGAGAATCACAGAGAAACTAAAATATTTGCGTATATTCGATTGTTTCAAGCTTTTTAGAGTTTCTATATTTACAAATGGCAGAGAGAATTTTGTCGAATAGAGCTCGTTGCCAAAGACCATTAAAATGAAAGACTTGTTCGTCACTTATTGAATGTTTCCAATCCTTCGACTGAGATCCTTGAATACTGTTCTTATAGCGTTTATTATAACGAGGCTTCTATTACACATGCATGACGCTATTATTTCACGCCACTGCTTGTTCATTTGTAAAAGGAACACCTTATTAGAACTGCGAGTATCCGGGTATTTTTGATATTCGAATATCCAATTAATTTTATCCAATACAAATAGAATCGATATTTTATATATGAGAAAATTTAACAATAATCCAATTAAAATTGTAAAATTAAACTTATTATATCCTTTAATATTGTAATAATATGAAAACATTTTTGGAAAATAGTAGATTCGATGATAAAATGATGATATTTTTGGTAGAATAATCATATTTATTTTCTTATTAGCTTGATAATTTAAGATTTTTAAAAATTCCTTTTTTTTTTTATAGAATAGAAAAATAGGAAAAGTAAGCTAAATTATTTTCATGATATATTTCTATTTAAATAAATTCACATATTATAAATATATATAAATGCATATGCATTTTTATGTTATCGTAAAAATGTATAATTAATTTTTTATAAAATATCTGAGAAAGAGTATTAATTGCCTTTTTGTCAAGCTTTTTTTTTCTTAAGTAAAAAAATTAAATATAATTTTCAAGAATATCCAAAATAAATTTCTTTTTCTTTTCTCAATATCTTTGTTAAATTTTTTCTCATCACGTTATTATATCTGGGAAAATTTCTAAACGATATTTGAATAATTTTAAGTTAAATCAAATGTTCCTCGCAATTGATAGAGAATTAAGTTGAAAAAAATTTAAGGATAAACGTATAAAATACAATATAATTTTAAACATTCGATCAAATTTGGATATTCGAATATCGTCTCGATTAGATGATAGCATCAAGGATCCGGATAAATTGGCAGATCTGTTTATTACGCTCACCAATATTAAACACTGCCAAGCCACTTTGTACTGAACCATTACGACACACGTGAAAACTATAATTGCCAAATTCCCTTTTCGATATAGTAGTCGAGACGTAGCAATAAACAATTTTTAGTCGGTAAAAAATCGTAAAAATAAAGAACTCGGGAATGTGAGGGAACGTAGTAGGAAACGTAATTTCCACATATCTAGAAAAGGGGAATTCTTTGTGGGACTGTGTAACTGAAATTAGATGATCGAGGAAACTTGAAAAAGGAAAAAGGGGAAAAAGAGAATTTCATCTGGTTTGCCAATCGCTCTCGAACATTGTCCTAAATCATCCAAGATCTGCGAAACGGTGTAGCGAACAATCAACGAGAAAAAAAAAAAAAAAAAAGAAAGAAAGAAGAAAAGAAGACGGGGGAAAAGAATAAATTGGAAAGATTTCTGATATTGCACAAGGGGACGAGTTGTGGGATATAAATATCGGATCAATTACAATCTCGAAGACATTGTAAATAATATTTGCGTCGTGTGCTCGCATACATCAAATATTACACCGATTTCCCTAGCGATTTTACTCGACGAAGAGATAAATTCTCGCAAGCGTCTTTCTTTTTATGTAAACGACATTTTTCCATTATCGACTTTGTAACGATATCAATAGGAATAGATAGCGAAAGAGAGAGAGAGAGAGAGAGAGAGCGAATTGATTGATCCAAAAAATAAAAAAAAGAAGAGGAAAAGAAAAGAAGAGAGAAAATAATGAAGGAAAACGCGCGCAACTAATGAAGAAGAAGATGCGAATGATACCGAAAACTAGCGTAGACTGTCCTAGCTTGTAACGAACATTTCGACTTTTCTTACTTTTTTCCGACGTGGAGAACGCGTGCGAGAAATTTTTAGGTACCTGTAATTAACATTGTTAACGACTATACATATATATTATATACATATATTATATATATATATAAAAGAAACCAAGGCGCCTTCGACGACTCGCACCACCATTCTGTACGAACCTTCGACAGGGGGATTGTTGTTAGGAGGGATCGTGGAGAAAGGATTAACGAAGATTCGTGGTCAAATTTTTGTTTTTTTTTTTCAAACCTCTTGTAAACGTCAAAGAGCGTGCATGGAAGAAATATCGGGTAGGAAGGTTAAATGCACACGTGTAGTACGATGAATATTCGTTAATTCGATCGACACACACGAAAGGTTTAGGTTGAGGTACAGGTCGTTAGTGGAAGCTTTTTTTTTCCTCGTAAAAGTAAAAGAAGAAAAAAGAAAAAAGAAAAAAAAAATACGTACGCTTGCGTTTTCCTCGACGTTGACAAAGGATGGAGAAAGATCGGCGAGCAAATAATTTATTGTCTACGATAAAATAACATTTTAGCGAGGCAGCAGGATCCTGTTGAATGAACTTTTAGCAGCAATAACACTGATAACCGCCACGTAGTGAAACGATTAAGTAGTGTAAAAGACCAATAGGACGATATTTACGATTTCTAATTCGTAAAGAGTAAGTCTAGCACGTTAATATATTGATTGGATCGATTGGTTGAGGAATATTTATATGTATATATATATATATATATATACATACGTGTTTCGTGATATTATTAGATTATCAACGGATTAGCAATTTCGAATTTGTAATTTGATCGATTAATTTCGACCAGAAGCTGGAACAATTGGCAATTTAATATTTTCGAAATTATTCAAACTATCGAATACTGTTAATCGATATTAGATTTGAATTCATAAATCAGATAATAATTTCATAATAGAGAAAATTGTAATTATTATATGATTCTAATTTATTCGGAATAAAAGAAGAATCTTCAGTTAGATTTTATTTTCAAAAAAATATTAATATATTTTCTTCTGAATGTTAAAAAAAATTGATTTAAAATTTGTATTTATTAATTTATTCTCTCTAAAATTATACGAATGAGATTACTCTCTGTGTTGATCTTGATAAAACATATCAAGGTGACTAAAATCTTATTTTATTCTTACTCGAAGCAATCAACATAATCTTTGATAGATTATTTTTAATTATTCTAATTTTTTTCTTTTCGCGTATTAAAAAAAAAAAAAAAGGGAGAGGAGGAGGGCAAAGATATATCTCTCAAACGATCGATTCGATGTCAGTACATTGCTCAATACCATTGATCGGGACATGGAAATGGAAACAAGACTCACTCTTGTGTTTACGATAGCGTTACAAACCACACGACTCATGGAATTATTCACGTGTAGACAAAAATAATACCGTTCTAGTTTCGTATAGCCGCAACGGTGTATTCTTTGTATAAACAGAAAAAAAAAAAATAAGCGGATGAAGAGGGAAGGAAGGGAAGAAACGAAATCATTATAAAAAAAAAAATATATCGCCGGAAATCTAAGTCTCGAAAACCGCATGAGGATGCCGAAAAAAAGAAGTAATTTCGAATCGACTCGTGGGGGGGAGGAAACTCTAGATAATCATTTCGAGGGTGCATGCTGATACGTGTGGGTGATACAAGTGGAAGAATGAGAAATAATGATTAAATTAAATCGTAATAATCAAGGGGAACGTAGCACGAATTGAATCAATTCGATATTCTCGAATCAATTTAATTTCACTGTAGAACACGACGACGTAGCGCTATTATTAACAAAAAATTTGATCACAAGTCGCAATTTCCTTTCCGTCAATCAATACGCGTTTTTTCTTTTTTATTTTCTCGAATTAGGGTTCAAATATCGAATTGAAATGATTGCTCGAGCCGTGTTCATTTCCTATGAATCGTATGAAACAAACGTAGTGAAACGATCGATTCATCACGCATGCGTAGATGAACCTTCTTTTTCTGAACCGATTTAGCATTGAAACGAGAGGCCAAAATCAATCGTTCGTGTAATGGGCGAAAGTAATCGTTTGAACGTGTATTGAGAGATATGAGGGAGAGAGGCATCTGTGTATGAGAGTGTGTGTGTGCTCAAGGAAGAGAGAGAGAGAGAGAGGAGGAGAGAGAGAGAGAGAGAAGAAGGAAGAAC